AGTCGGGGGCTGGGAGGCGGCGGCGCGGCCTGGTGCTGGGGGGTGGATGGAAGGGGTGCGCTCTGCCGTGCGTGCCGGGGCGCGGGCGTTTGTCGCTTCCTCTCGTAGTTTTGTCCCGGGCTTGAGGGGGAGTGTCGCTGGCTTCCCTCAGCGGAATGAGTTGCTGGGGTCACAGGGGTGTCGCTTTGGGGAAAGAAACCCAAACCTGCCTTCGCCAGTGCCTGTCGGTGAGCGGTGTGTGCCCGCTGCTGGCTGTAACCTCCCTGCCCTTGCCTGGTGGCTTGCTGGGGACAGCCAGGCATCTGTGCGGGGTCCTGCCGTGCCACACCTCTGTGAAGGGGGCGCAGCCTCTTCTCCAGCAATACGTGCTTTGAGGATATGCAGCCCTCAGGAGTGAAGATCCTGCTGGGAGCAGTATCTGATGCTTCGTTTGTGCCGGTGTACGGTGGTCTTGTCCAGCTAAATTCTCTTAGTTCGTTAGACGCTGATTTTTCCGACTGCCCTGGTTTGTAAACAGTGTGCATGTTCCTAAATCGGCATATAGACACAGGTGGGGCAGTGCATCCACTCTGTGAAGTTGTTTCGATGTGGGTTTAGAAATTTAACTCTTCTTAATTTAAGGTAGGCTGACACATGCCAAGGTTAAAAAGATTGAAGAGAAGTATTTGAAAACTTACAGGGTATTACAAAGTTTGAGGTTAAATCATTCCATAGCAGATACTAAATTAATACCATAACTGAATAAGATACTGAAACATATTGCTTAAGGTTGAAGAATGTTTTTTGTGAACATATGTATCTGTATTCTAACAGACTTCTATACTACTACCATTCAGTTTCTAAGTCTCACAAAGGTACTTTGCTCTCTGTAGATTACATGTTGGAGGGCTTTTTGCTCTGTGACAAATTTCTGTCTGAGATGTCAATGTGAATAGTTGATTTTGGTGCTGCTGTTCCAGTTATGGCTAGGGCTACTTGGATCCTCAAGTTCTGGATTAGTTACTAAGGATTGCTATAAAATACATTTTTTTTTTTTTAATGCCCTGTTTTACTTCTGTATTTATTTGCTCTGTTGCTAATATCTGTTTCTCAATATTAACTACTTTAGTTTGTAGATGAGGGTTGCCCAGATTTAAAAATATTATCTGTCAAACAGGAGGTACTGTGCAAGATAAATTCGAACTAAAAATAACAATAGTAGGAGACATATTTTTGCTGTTAATGTCAAGTTTTGCGTAGTCAAAACTATGAGCCCTTATAAACTGGGTTGCTCTGGTCCAGTCTTCAGAGAAAGAGTCCCTGCGTTGGTAAGGAGAGTACAAGCCTGGGTACAACAACTACACTTCTCCCTTGCTGTAAAATTAAATTGTAACGTAGATGACTAATACTAAAGGCAGCACAACTGATAGCAAGTGAACTAACAGGCAGTTAAATTGTGTTCACTTGAGAATATCTGTTCTATTTTCCTCATTTTCTGTATCAGAAGTGCAGTTCAACATGGGAAAACAGTATTTGCAAAATAATGCTTGTGTGATGGAAAGTTGTTGATGTCATTTGCTCATGATGACTACAGTTGTTAATATTCAGAAATTTATCCCATTCTTTATAATGTTTGCTACTTCAATAATCTCTTACTTTTCTTGGGTGTAAAGATGACTTTACAAAATTTCAGGGCTCTGAGATAAGTCTTGGGTATTGATACTCTGACACTTGATTACTTGGAAGATTTTGGTTGTATCCTAGAACTTTCTGTTACCTGTAAGAAAACTTTCAGAAATTCAACAACGTGCAGTCAAGTTGGTTATTGGGTGAACTTTAAAAATTCTGAGCCTGAAGTCTAAAGTGAAAGAAGTTAACATCTCTACTTATTCTCCCTGACTAGTATCCCTGTACAGAATACAATACGTTATAATTTCTTTCTTTGTCCATAACCTTGTTTAAACACAAATAATTATTTGTGTTTTGTGCTCTGAAATGTCCAGCTTCCTTTGAACTCTATGATAGATAACATTGTTAATGCTTTGTGAAAAGGAAATCTCTATTGTTTGGTTCTAGGTTATCGAGCTTGACTTTGATCAGTTACCAGAGGGTGATGAAGTTATAAGTATATTGAAACAGGAACACACTCAACTGCACATATGGATTGCCTTAGCGGTTAGTATATATACAAATTGTACATTTAAATATTATATTCAGATAATCAAATAATTTCTACTTCCTGACTTTTATGACCAGGGATAACTGAGTTCAGAACAGGAACTTAATGGGGTTAATGATTCTAGGCCAGATATTTCTGATTTGACATATGCATATTAAGATTTAAATTTAATCTTTTTTTCATGAAACAATGCTGCCTGAGGCCTACTTTCTAAGTTGTTTTTTTCCTCAATCTGTTGTTCTCGTGGTTTGTGCCTTTGATTATGTGCTTCGTAAAAAAGGAGGGGACAGTATCTGTACTATAGAAAGTATGGTGAAATGTACAAAAAGTTAAAGTTCAGCAGAAAAGAGTTGATTCTTCACTTAAATAGCTGTAAGACTTGTGGTTTAATGTAAAAATACTAAGTTGGGATGATGACAAAAATATTTGGCGGTATTGCAATGTCTTTGTCTGATTATCCCTACATTTGTGTCTGATTTATTCCTACATTCTGGAAAAAGAATCTGTGTGACATCTAAAGCATCATCTTGATACATTACTTACTCACTGCGGTAGTATTGTCTGTTAAAAATTTCTGGTTTATAGCTGGAATACTACAAACAAGGAAAAACAGAAGACTTTGTGAAGCTGTTGGAAGCTGCACGCATAGATGGTAACTTGGACTATAGAGACCATGAAAAAGATCAGATGACATGTCTGGATACTCTGGCAGCGTACTATGTACAGCAGGCTCGAAAGGAGAAGAACAAAGATAACAAGAAGGAGCTCATTACACAAGCTACCTTGTTGTATACTATGGCTGACAAGATTATCATGTATGATCAGGTAAAACCAAAAGCTGTTCAGAAATCCCTAATTGTAAATTACTTAGTGATTGTGAAGAATACAAGTCTTGATTCACTACAGGGAAAATAGAAACTGCTCAGGCTTTAAAGTCTGTTAGTGTAGTACATGTAAGCAAAACTTGTAAGTATCTGAAATGTGTGCAGAGCCACCGGGAATAACTACCTCTAGCTTGGGACACCTGATAGAACTATGTCAGTCAGCTTTTGGGGGCTGGGAAGGAAGGATTGGTTGTTACTTTCTTAGCTGACAGTATGTGAACTTCAGCTGTGTACTTTTTGTTTTAGTATTCTCCATGATGTAAGAGAAATAAATGAATCTTAGAAAGCATTATAGCATAGCCAGTTAATCTTTCACACAGTCTAATACTTGCATTTTACAAAGCTAAATACATCGGAATTTTTTTTTTTCTAGAATCACTTGTTGGGAAGAGCTTGCTTTTGTCTGCTTGAAGGTGATAAGATGGACCAGGCTGATGCACAATTCCACTTTGTGCTCAACCAGTCTCCAAATAATATTCCTGCCCTTCTCGGTATGAGTTTATGGATATTTGTGTAAAATCCTGGTTTCTCCAGTTGAGTTTTGGAATGAATTATATGCTTAAGAAGAGAGTGTGTCTGTGAGTAGAGAGAAAGAATGTGGTAAAGCAGTGAGCACTTTTCACTAGGAACACGACAGAGATTACTTTGAACTTGAGAAGTATATGTAGGTGGAAGAGCTAGGAAGAAGTATGGTGCTAGCTAGCATCTAAGACCTGTGGGCTGACATCCAGTCCCAGTACTTATATTTCCCTGATGATGCTAATGAAGCTGTGTACTCTGTCAAAGGTGAAGATAACCAGTAGTGAGGGGTCAGCGGGCTGTAACGCTTGTATTTTAATTTGTTTGCTAATTAATCCAGTCTTAGTAAATGTCTTTCCTCTGCACCAGGAAAGAATTAAGTTTCTGCAGAAAACTATGAAACTAAATTTACTGTGTTGATTTTTTTTTTTCCCATGTGTTTGACATCATCAAAGATAATAAAAGTTGTAGTTGTCCGAATTTTCTGTTGGTCTTTAACTAACTTCTGAAAATTAGCACAGTGCAATTTTACCAAATAATACTTATAAGCTTCTGATTTATAACTGGTTTGTTTATATTTCTGATTTATTTGTAACTGGTGTGTTGTAACAGGTAAAGCATGCATTTCTTTCAACAAGAAAGATTATAGAGGAGCCCTTGCCTACTACAAGAAAGCATTACGTACCAATCCCGGCTGCCCAGGTAAAACAGAAAGTATTTGCTAGTGGAAGTATTTGCTGTACTTGCAAACTAACTCAAGTCTCCCTAATTCAAATACCTGAGGGCTTTTTTGTCATCTATATCTGTCAAAAAATCCCCAGGCCTTATTATAGAGGAGTTCGAGTATTTGTTGACTTGAAGTGTTCTTTAATTATTAGCAAGGGAAACTATGTTTAGGAAAATACTTCTCTTTTTTTTTTTTTTTTCTAATTTACTACCTTTTAAAGAGCTATTAGAAAATGAGAAGTTGCATATAAGAGAAGTTAAAATTGTATGGGGAGACAGGGACTGTTCAAGACTGTTGCAGAACCTATCTGTGAGCTCTTGGAAGAAAGGTGAAGAAAATGATGTATTAGCGTTAATAATGAAACAAGACATGAAAAGTAAAATTCTACCTATTATGCATGATTTGAGTTTTCCTGGTGTTGTATGATTTTTTCTTAGTGTAAAAATCTGGGAAAGCTATCAATAAGGTCTGAAAAACTGATTTAAAGATAGTAGTTCAGGGTATTTGCATTAGGAACATAAATACTCTTAAAAGTCTCTTGAGAAATGTGGTGTACTTTGTCATAACCTATCTGAGAAAGAATTTATTGTTATGAAGTTGATGTGTATTCTGTAGTCTGGTTTAGCGTAAGAATCATTGCTGCAAAAGTGGATTTAGAAACATAAGCCAGCCTTTTAAACAAACATCTTTTGCTCACACAGCTTTTTCACATTTTGCTGTATCTAAATGTCTCCATATTCTTCATTCACAGGTAGTCTGAAAGGGCATTATGATGTGACTTCTGTGTATTAGTTCATCTGTACATGATCACAGAAGTTAGTGGATGATAAACAGAATTTTGTTAGCAGTGAATCAGTTGATCATCTGGGGAGAAATGTCTAGTTAATTTGTTTATTCATCTGTGTTTTCTGAAGGCCTGCTAGTCTCAGGTGAACTTACTCTGCTTAAGAAATTTCCAGCTTTTTCATCTGGCAATTTTTTATGCCTTTATTAATTTTAATACATTTCCATAAATAATTTTTAATTTGTTTAGTATTAGAGTATTTTGGAGATACAGACCAATAAACTGGGGTGTATGAAGAAATAAAGCCTTACTAATCTGTTAAAGTTAGTTTTGCTGCCAAGTGTGGGAGGCTACCTTTAAAACCAGCAAATTGTTAGATGGCTTTACAGGTTTTAAAGAAACATTAAAAATTTTGCTTTCACTTTAATTGATGTCTAGAATGTAAAACAAGCCATGAAGTTGAAATTTTGGGATTCTGAATGGTGTCATCTTGTTCTCTAGCTGAGGTTCGATTGGGTATGGGCCACTGCTTCGTGAAACTGAACAAGTTAGAAAAATTTTTTCAGCAGGGCTCTGGAGCTAAATTCGAAATGCGTAGGGGCTTTGGTTGGATTGGCTGTTCTGGAACTCAATAATAAAGAGGTGAGTCTGACTTAACAAGAATCCATACTCGGTTTACTTTCTTCTTACCTGAAAAAGCAAACGTTTTATCCTTTGAAAGGTAGTCCGGTTTTTAAAAGGGGTAATAACTTTTGTGGTTAAATCATTTTAAGTCTGTGTCACTATTGAATGATACTATAGTTATGTGCTTGTGGTGTGAGCAGCACATGCTGAATAACTTTCTTCTATTGTTAAAAATCTTCAACTCTGCTGCTTATAGATGTGTCAAGTACAGAAAAACAGTGTTAGGTTAACTATTTTAATTAAAATAATAAAAATCCGCGTCAAGATGTGTGAATGCATGTCCAGTCACTTAAACCCAAAATTGTTGATTTCAAAATCTTACTTTAATGAGCAGTAGTTATAATATGTATCATAGGCAGCCTTACTTAGTAATTTGTGACTCTGAAGGTTAACTATATCAGTTTGCACTCAGGATGCTCTGAAAGTCCTCAACTAATTGGAGACCTCACTTGCAGTGGCAGCTCTATTCCAGAGCATCAGGGATTTTTTTTTTTTTGAAAGAGCATCATGCTAACATGAAGGTCAAAGTAAAAGGTGTGGCCCCAGGAGATTAGTCCCGGGCTTCAAGGAACAGAAGCTCTCAAACAAATGTTAAAGCCATACTCAAGCTGCCTTGGCATGCTTGTCACATGGTAAACGAAAGAGTAGGCAAGAAAAAAAAAATTAACTAGGCTGATGAAATTATGATGAAGTGGTGATCCTACCTCTCTCTAGGTGTTGTATCACTAGAAAGATGCATATGCTCATATACCTTATTTGGGATCGTAAGATCTGAGATGGTTAATCTATGCTAAGGAGGTTATCAGTGGAGGATGGGACCTTTAAGTGTTTAAAAAAAAAAAAAAAGAAGAAGAAATTGTTACTTAATTGCATGTTACTGAAATTTAGTGTTATGCTGTCTGTAGAACACATAGCTCCCTAGAAAGATCTGTTAGTACAGAATGTCTGAAAGTAACTTAGTTTACTACATCACAGGAAAAAAAAAATGGGAAGACTTCCATGAAGAATTTCAAAAAATGTGGGCACAAGAGTTTTCTTTTGGAAAACTGCAGACACAACCAAAAATATTCTGAAGTCAAATTTTAATAAGTAATTCCATGGGCGACTAACTAATGAAACCTGGTATCTTCCTTTCTTTTTTTCCTGAAGGCCTTTTGACCAAATCCAAGGCATGAGTCCATTCACCTTAAACTTCAAAAAGCTGTGATTAAAAGCTGACCAATTCAAGTACGGTTTTTGTTCTCTGTAAGAAATGTATCATCTGTGCTTTCCTTCAAACTGTTTTTACAACTTGCACTGCAAAGTTAGTTTAACATCAAAGAGTTGACATGGGGGAGGGAGAACACTTTCTCTGGGGAAAAGATTCTGAGTTGCAAACAACTAATTGACGTTTTTTCTGTGCTTAGATATTTCTGATGTTTCGCCCTCCTAGAAGGTGCTATGATGTCAAATCAGGGTTGAGATTACACTGTGTTGTCATTGAGGTCTGTTTTATCTCTGGTTTTCTTTAATCAAAGTGCTTAGGAGCTTTGATACCTCTAAACATCTATTGGATTTGTTGAAATTGGACATGAGACTCAAATTATCAGAAAACTCAGACGTATACATAGTGTGATGGTGGGGTTTTTTCCCAAAGAAAACCTCTTTGCCTTTGAAAATGAAATGAAGAATGATTCAATTTCTTCTAATCAAGGTGTGTTGTTATGCTAGGTTTGGAAAGATAGTGTCTTTTCAAAGTGGAACTGTTTTTTAGCTGCCTGTTGAACTTCATTTTATGTCTCAACCTCATAAAACTTAAGCTGTTCAGTAAGATAGCTTTCTGATGATAATAATTGCAAAGTAAAGCACAGATGTTACATGATTACTAGATACCATTCTTGGTGTTTCTGTTCAGAAATAAGTACGGATTTAAGTTGATGTACTTGTGATATAGATCTCATGGGTGTCCCAAATAAAGAGCAATTGTTTTATCAGTTAGGGATTTTAACTTACAGGTAAGTAAAATTTGTACCCATGGAAAACTTTCTTTAAACTGTTAAGTTTCTTTAGAAATGAGTAAGTTGATAAAATGGTATCCCTGTGTAGACACTGCAAACTTCTACGGTTTTTGAAATTGAGAACTTAAGTTCTAGTAGCTCTTTTAATTCAAGATCTGAAGTTCTTGTTTAGAATTTGAACATGAAAATATCTTCATTTCACTGCTGAACAAATTGTGTAAAAGGTTGAAACCTAAACCAAACACGAACTGCTGACATTGAATAGTAGAAGGAAGGGTATTAGGGTGTGAGTTTGAAATGTCAAAGGACACCTAGACTAAGTATTAATTTTTTTTTTCCTAGAAAGTCCTGCTCTGCTTTTTTTCCATCCCTGTGTGGTGGCTTCACTTCCCATTTTCCATCTGTATGCTGCAGGGAGGAAAACTAGTAGCTGAATTTACTTGTTTCTGTGAGCGCAGCAAGGTTTTGTCAGAGTTCCTGCAGCAGCGTGGACTGAAGAATAGTTTTGAAGATGTTAATAAGATACAGCTATTGAGATGCTGCTGATACCTGTCAATGTTTCATTTAGGCTGATTCCATCAAGAATGGTGTTCAACTCCTTTCTAGGGCTTACACAATTGATCCCAGTAATCCAATGGTGTTGAATCACTTGGCTAATCACTTCTTCTTCAAGAAGGTAAGAGGTCTGTCGAATTTTGCAGTTAAATACTCGATAACATCTGAACAGCAAGGATTCTGGTGTTAGATTCAACCTCATTTCATCAGGCTAAGTGGTGCCTAATATGGGACCGTTAATCTAGGTGGACATGTGTAATGTTTTGCTTTAACTTTGTGTACGCTTATTTCTTAAGTCAAGGTCACCTTTGTGTCCTGAAGGCGTTTTGGTGTTGGTTTTTTTTTTTTCCTCTTTCCCCCTCTTCCATGCTTTAAAATATGAATTAGAGAAAAGAACGGTAACTGCCAAAACTGAATCTGTTATTAATTTAGTCAGTGCTATGGCTAAAGCTTTCTTGTATTTTCCAGCTACCCTTGTTTAAATAATAAATCTCTTGACCATAAGTAAAGTGAAGGCTTTCAAATTCAGTTTAACTTCCTTTTTTTTTCAGGACTATGGTAAAGTACAGCACTTGGCTCTTCATGCTTTCCATAATACCGAAGTTGAAGCAATGCAGGCAGAGAGTTGTTACCAGCTGGCTAGGTCTTTTCATGTGCAGGTAGGGCAGTTTTTAAAAGCCCTCTTTGAGATTACACTTAAAAATCTTGTTACAGAAGTTCATACAAAGCTTACTTGTTCTTTATTTATTTCTTTTTAATTAGGAAGATTATGATCAAGCTTTCCAGTATTATTACCAGGCCACTCAGTTTGCCTCATCTTCTTTTGTACTTCCATTTTTTGGATTGGGTCAAATGTACATTTATCGAGGGGACAAAGAGAATGCATCACAATGCTTTGAAAAAGTTTTGAAAGCCTATCCTAACAATTATGAGACTATGAAAATCCTTGGATCTCTTTATGCGGCTTCGGAAGACCAGGAGAAACGGGATATTGCAAAGGTAGGTTTTGCTTCTGCCCATATCCTACTTCTACATACAAGAGTACAACTTGAAAATCAGACTTGAAATCAGACTGTACCTTAAGTTGCATGAAACTGTGGGTTACTTGGCTGTAGGTCTAGAATAGTTAATATTGGCTGTCATGAGAGATCCTCCTAACTGTGGAGGGTCACAGCTTCTGGACAGAACTGAGATTCCT